CAGCGCATCCGCGCTTCGCACGAGCACAGGAGCCGCGGGACAGCTCCGGGGTCACTCCGGCCCCGTCGCCACCCTAATTTGCAGGAGGCTTCTCTTATCGCGCGGGGCACTGATTTCTGAGGGGCACAAGAGGGTTTAGGGTTTGCCGAGGGGACTAGAAAAGGCAGCAAGAGGCGCTTCAAAGGCTCGGGCTGATCCCCCAACACTGAACTCTCTCTTGCCCGTCTCGATCCAAAGCGGTTTCGCGGTGGAATAAACATCTCTGATCTAAGACAGCTGCCGGGAATCAAAGGCCGCCCCGATCAGTGCTGAAACGGCCGAAGAAGTGACTGAAAAATGCCCGCTCCTGACAAACGCAGGGAAGGGGGTGCGAAGGCGACTCTCCCCGCAGCGCCTCCAGGCTCTGAAAGCAGCAACAGTTCACCCATTATTCATCTGATTTGTTTTATAACACCTCTGACACCTAATCTTATCAGCTAATACCCAAGATTTAGTTACCCAAGACGATTTTTTTCCTCACTAGCAGCAAAATCATTTAGTTCTCTACAGATGTTTTCTTCTGTCAGCCAAAAAAAAAAAAAAAAAAAAAAAAAAAAAAAAAAAAAAAAAAAGAAGAAAGGAGAAGAAAAAGGAAGAAAAAGGAAATTAAGAGAGAGGGAGCTAATGCGTAAAGGAAAGATCCAGACTTTCCAAGACTCGTAGAAGCAAGCACTGAGGAAATACCAACCTAACTAAAAACTTAAAAAAAACCCAAAACTTAGGGAAGAGACCAGAAACCGAATGGACACATACATAGTCCATGCAGACTTGCCTGTAAAATAACGATTTATTTTAATACTTAAAAACCACACACAATCCAGTGATAAATGTCAATTACCAATAATCAGCATAAAGTGCCAAACAGCCATACAACTTTTTTTTTAATAAACAAAACTTATTGGAATTTCTCTTAATTTGAATACACTGTTCAGAAAGCCAGCATTTAAAAAAATACGCTCTCAAGTTGAGATTTGTTCTCTCACATCAGGACACACGAAGACTTTAAAGTACCACTAAAACCACGTTTTGCATACCGTCAGTTTGACATATTCCCATCTTCTTTCCTGTGTTTTTTTTTTAGATAAGTCCACAAGTTACAAATTTCCTCACAGCGCACTAGACCACAAGGTGATAAAAAAGGTCTCCATGTCCCATGAACACTGTTCTGTCCCGAACACTGGGGACCTGTGGGTCTAAGATCTGGATGCATTTTCTAGCACATGATAGGACTACCCACTTGAAAGACTTAGGTCATTTCCAAACATTAATTTTCTTTTCCTTTTATGAAAACAAGCTAACAAATGAGATTTGCAAGTTGCTCTTCTCCTTGTCCTAATGATGCTGTGATGAGAAATCATTGTTTCAGTTCTTAATCGTCTTCCAGAATCCACTGTATTTCCTGAAATGTAGAGAAGCTTTATACAGTCAAAAAAAAAAAAAAAAAGTATAAAATAAGAGGTTGGATTTTTTAAAGTAATACTTTTGGAAATTACGATTTTGTTTTTTCGGGGGGGAAGGAGGAGAATTGGAGTGGGGGTGTCTAGTGGGGTTTTGTTGGTTTTAAAGGGATTCCTATCCAACACGTGAGCACCACCTTTTGGCATAAAGTTTATCAAAGCCACACAAGTCAGCTAGCACTCTCTGCATCATTCATGTATATTTTAAATGCAAAATAATTTTTCACCCACGACTTAGGACGTTAGTTGCTTGGATGGGGAATTGAGGAGGGTGTGAATTTTGCCCTTTTTAAAGTACAAACAAAACCAAAGCACAAAGTCCAGTGCTCCCATGCTGAAAGTTTTGATGCTGCTCTGGTTTTGATGTAGTCTGAAGGGGAGGAAAAGTTCAGAGAAGTTGGAGATTCAGCACTTAAGTTTGGCAGGTTTCAGTTCCTTTACTTGCGTGTGCAGAGTCTTGTGGACTGCTAGTGTTCTGGACTGGCAAAATCCTTTCCCACATTCTTGACACTTAAAAGGCTTTTCTTTAGAATGGATATATCTAGAGAAAAGAAAATAATTGAGATGTCAGAAATAACCAGCCTAAACTCAGCAGTGAGCCGAGGAAGAACACTCTGGAGCTCTTTTTCTATCTACTGCTGAGACTGAGTGCTGGAGTATGGCACTCAGGCAATCATCTCTATTTGCACATGCAAGGAGAGAGGGGGATGTTGAAGATTTATAGGGTGCATTTCTTAGGGATAAAAAGTTTCTCTCTTACTTTGGGCTGTGTGTCTTCATGACACTTCTGACTGATCATAAAAGCAGAGGACAGAAGATGATGCAAATAGAGGATGAAAACATCTGTGGAAGCTAAGAAAGAGGCTGTGCAAAATGTTTTTGTGGAGTGAGTGATGTCTGTCTTCCAAAGTGAGTTACCTGAGCTCCTACACCAGCAGTGGATAGAGGAAAACCTAGAGGGAACACTGTTGACTGGCCGGGGACTTGACTTGAAGTTATTCTTATTCTTACAAATATCTTCATGAGTGTAGATGGGTAACAGTGAGAATACGAATGTACAAGGAATAAAGGGCAGAACAAGTAAAATAGTTACCTGTGATCCCTCAGGTGATCCTGTCTTCTGAAGGCCTTGTGACAAATGTCACATGTGTAGGGTCGTTCATCAGTGTGGGTTCTTTCGTGGATCAAAAGGTTGTAGGACTTGGTGAAGTGCCTGCCACAGAATTTACACACAAACTCCTTCTTGGTTTTGGATGGTAACCTTCCTCGTGTGGGTTTCTTCTCCGGAGAGAGTTTAGTCACCTCAAGCAAAGACCCTAGCCCTGTGGCTGAGCCCTGACTGTCTGCCTGTCCCAGTTTAGAGTGGTCCTCTTGTGTGGCAGACACAGCTAAGTTGGCAAAGTCAAAGCGGGGTTTGGCTTTGAGGGTCATATTGGTGGCCTCTTGCTTGGGCTGGATGACATGTGGGAAGAGTGGGAAGGTTGGAAGCTGGAAGCGTGCGTCCACCAGGCTCGAGACGCTGGGCACTTTGGAGAAGGAGGAGCGGGGCAGATGCATGGCCGGGTACCCCAGAGTCCACTGGTGCAGGTGCACAGCGTGCAGGGCGCTGAAGCCATAGAGGTTGGAGAGGTGTTCAGAGGGCACAGCAGGCAGCCCGTTGAATGCTTGCAGGAAGGAGTAGTTGGTAAGCTGGAGGGAAGGATGGATAGGCACTGGGGCTGGCAGGGTTTTACTTCCCATGGTGGCCACTCAGGAGGAGGATCTTGGGAACAGGGGAGAAAAATATCTGGAAAATAAAGATGGGAGGACAAGAGGGAGAGGTAGATTTATGTGAAGATAAAATCAGAGGGAATTTCTTACATCACCCCTCATTAACATCCTTCTCCAAAACCACAGGATGAGGCTACCTTGGACTTGGAGAGGCCTGACCAGCTCTTGGCTGTGAGTGTATCCCCAGATTGTCCCTCTCCCCATCTTTCCCTTGCACACAAAAGTTGAACCCCATCCACAGTCATTCACTTCCCAACAGCATCTCCAGCTAAGTAGACCTCCAATAATTATCTGCATGGGGGTAGCCAAGAGATGCCACTTTGGCTCAGAAAGTGCAGGCTTCTCCCATGTAATTTAATATCCCTTCCTGGGTGAGCTTAGCCTTCAGAAAATAATGGGATACTATACTGCCCACTATGTCTGTCCGCAAAAACTGCCTTTAGCCCTGACCCTTGAAGTGATGTGGGGGGGGGGGGTGGAATTTGCTGTCCCTGTGTTGTTTATCTCCCTGCAGTCTGGCCTCAGTCAAACCTCTGAGGTGGTGGAAGCAGCTGGGTGCTCAGAACTGCATATCCTTCTTCATTCAAAAAAAAGAAATTAATTCTGGGGAAAACCCAAAATGTTATGGGGAAATACAAGTCAATAGCCCTCCCTCCTGTGTACTGCAAAAAGAAATAAGAAAATGCTGAGTTTGGATGACAAGTCTGAAGCACCATTTGCTCTCCGCGGGGGGAAAGTGCCTGACTTCAAGCCCACATCCTAATCTAGGCAATCACTTAATTAGACCCCTTCAAAAGGCAAGAAGGCAAGGACTGGAGAGATCCTTCCCATGGGGACACTCAGCCCAGAATCTGCAGGGCCACAGGGCTCCAGCCGTTCCCTGGGCTGGGTGCCATCACTTTGCTCTAAGTTTCAGGGTCCTGCCAAGCCTCCAGTCTCTCCAGACCTCTATCTATTCCACCTCACAAGGCAGAGGGGAAAGTGCTACAAGGCAGCAACTTTGAAGCACATCTGGCTCTGCCTGAAAATTCAGCCCCAGTTCCTGTCAACCATTTGGCAGGAGATGCCTCCCAAGGGTTGTTGCTGGGGACTCAGCTTCCTCTCTTTGTGGGTGCAAGAGAGCATTCATGGCTTTTGGAGGCATCCTATCCCTGCAGCCCAGGGACCCTCCTCCCTCACTCCACAGCCCACCACTTCTATTTGCTTTGCCTGCAGTGAACTCTGGGATTTCCCCTCAGTGAGTCTGTTTTCTGGCAGGATTCCTGTGGAGTCCACACAGGGTGCTCCTAAGATCCCTGCAGGTATGCTGCAGGGTTCCCAAGGGTCCCCATAGGGTCTTCATAAGGTCCCCTATTGTTCAATCACCATAGGATCCCCACAGGGTCCTGGCAACACTCAGACTAGAGTTCAACCCCATGTGAAGAGTAAAGCCCCTTTGGGGAAACAGAGGCAGCAAAGTGCTGCAGAACAGTAATTGTCTCTCTGGCCTGGAAGGCTGGGGTCTGGAAACTGGTGGCAGAAGAGGTCTGAAGACCAAGGAAACAAATCTGATTTATATGCGGGCTATTGCCAGGACAGAGGAGCTGCGGCTGGCAGGGTGTGAGAGGGAGAAGCTTACCCTGAGCAGCTCTATATGCCTGGTCCACCTTTCACACTGCTTTACATAAATCAGCAGCAAGAAGAGGGACTCAAACCTTAGAGGAATTCCACTGCAGTGACCCAGAATAAGAGACTGTGGCATTGTTCTTTTTTTCAATTGGTTACATTTTGGATAGTGACTGATTGAAAAATGCACACATTACATTCTCTATTCTCCTCCCTTTATTTTTTTAACTGCTTAGGGTTATTGAACCAACCAGACAGTTTTGCTGTTTTACTGGGGATATGCTTTTATTTTGTTAGTGTTGTCCATACGCTATGCCTCAACTGCAGCACAAATGCCTCAACTGATGATCGCAAGAACATAGTGTACAGAAAATACTCTTGTCCAGGTACCTGAAAATGTCTGTTTCTGTTGGTCACAATGGCTCTGTGTCTATTTTCCTGTCTAGGTAGCTCTAGATCTCTCAACCATGAAATATGCTATTGCAGTCAAAGTAAACTTCTGTGTTTATCCTTCTTTCTTTCTCCGTATCATTAGGAAACATTTAATATGGACTATATAAGCAAAAGTCTATATGGCAATGTGGGTAAATTCTTGCTCGATAACATTAAAAAAAACCCTCTTTCAATTTCCCGAATGAAGAAGGAAGCACAAACCAAGGAGAAATAGAGTCAGATCATAATACCATCCATTGCTCTAGTGTTTGGGTTTTGGTTTAGTTTTTGTGGTTGTTGTTTTGTTTTGTTGGGTTTTGGTTTGGGGTTTGGTTTGTTTTGGTTTTGTTTTTGCTAGAGCAGTCCTGTTAAATTTTAAAAAAACCCAAATATAATAATGAAACAGCAAAAGAATGAAAACAAGGCAAAAAAAAAAAAAAAAAAAAAAAAAAAGGAAGCAAAGAGAGGGGAATTAAATAAAAAGAAAAGAGGAGGTGGGAGCAGAGTGTTCACGTTACTACAAGTTTCTTGGCAGTTTTCCAGAAATGTAAGCTACACTTTAGCTCTGTATGACCAGGATAGTCAAAAATATAGATGAAGAGCAGGATATTTCATAAAGAAGTCCCCTCGCTCCGGGACATCAAAGCGAACGCGTTTCACAGAGCAGTAACTCTCCGCTCTGCCGCTTGCCCACAGAGAGATCAATGTTTCTTTGATTTCGGTGTCACCTCCACCTTTAATTCTGCTTCATGTAAACAGATCGTTATCGGGTCTTCTTTTTTATTTTATTTTTTTTACGGAAGACCCCACGAGTTCTCTGCTTGAATTCCCCCATCGCAATAAAACTGTGCGGGTTTTCTTTTTTAACACAAAGTAGCTCGGCGAGTAATTAAGAACAAACCACTTGTGTTCTGACTGAAACAAAACCCACTCATGCCAAGATAAATTTACTCTGCAAAATAGGATCATAAACTTGAAAGACTACATCTGTCTCCAGCTTCCTTACCCTTTGTCCTGTTTGAAGATACGGCAATGCTATTGTCCAGTTGCCATTGTTTTAAAACCATTGTAATCTCAACATTCCAGATTAATTTCTGTCCCCTCTATAAACCAAACAAAAAAAATCTACCTGGCTTTCTGCTAGTAGCATAACTAGGGTCGAAATTAAACAGATTTTTAAGTAATCTTGTGGCTAGTGGCATTTTTCCTTTCTACATTGAATTATCAATTTCCGATGTGTCCTTTGAAAGGGATATTTGTTACATTAAATACCTGACTCATAAATAATGAGGTTTGCTAATTAGTTCCACATGGAAGAATGAAGGAGGTAAATTACCCCGAGAACGTTGCTTATTTTTACAAACATGATAAAGTAGGGGGCATAAAATGATGCATTCTTGAGAAAGCCTCAAACTACAGCAATCAGGTTCATCTGTCAAAAAAAGTCCTCAGTTTTGCCTGAGTCTTTTAAAGTCTAATGGCCCCGTCCTTTCGGCCGCAACTCATCGGTGTGCAGCACTTTGCAACCGGGTCGGATATTTATTTTGTCCCCTTTGAGAGGGTGAAATTTTCCCTTCCTATGAGTTAAAGCGAGGAAATAAATTGTAAACTCTATCTGTATTTGGGAAACTAGCCGGAAAGGGAATAAACCTCCCCTTTCGCTCTGCATTATTTGAGCGTGGTGCTCTTGAGGAATAAAGTGCATTGTTCAGCACAGATTTATTCAAAGTATTAATGAAGTGTGCAGAATCTATTAAAGCAGGTTTATTCGGGGCTAATTGAGCGTGAAAGAGTTAATTGCTAACATTAATGAGGACTGGAGGACTCAGTCAGCATGTGCCTTGGGTATCTCCGCTCAATCCTTATAAAATCATCATTCACATTTTATCACGAAATCGGTGTTGACAAGTCTCCCCAGACCACCATTGCGAGCGCGGGTGAATGCGGCGGGTGTTAGTCTCGCAACAACAACAATGAATAATAACCGTGTTCCGACTGCACCAGCGATAGCTACACTGCCCGGGGCAGCCTTTATCCAAACCAATAGCAAAAATCCCCGGGACCGGCCCCTGGAGGGATAGTGGGTAAGAGGCCACAGGCGGGAGCACAGTCCTACGGAGAGCGCGGGTGGGTGCCACGAGACGGCCGCAGGAGCCAAGCTCCTCCACCTTCTCCCTGCAGTACTTTTTAGGTAAGTTTGGGGATATTGTGTTCGTGTTTTTGTAATCCCCTCGGGGGTAGAATGGCCCCCAGCACAAGATTCACCCTCGCTTTTTCCCTAGAGAAAAGTCCGGAGCCTCCCCTGCGCATGAATAAATGGTCCTCCCTCTCTCCCGGGGGCCCGGAGGATTTTTCCCCTCTCTGCTCCTCTCTTCCCATGGTCACAGCACGCACAACGACTGTTGGGAGGCAAAACCTTTGCGGTGCCAGCCCCGAGGGCGGGCTGGGCACGGCGGCGCATCCCCGGGCCCGG